GCACTGCATGACACGGGTGCACTTACCTACATGCAGGCAATACATGCATACACATAAAATAAAAATAATAAATAGAATATTTTTTAAAAAACAATTTAAAGAAATTAAAAAGAAAATGTGAAATAGTTTCCTGAGACTCTAGGCATTTGATTTTCACAATGAACTCTGTTTTTTCTTTCTCTGATTTTTCCCCCCAAAGTCAGTGAGTTACCCAGAACCTTATACATATTAGGCCATCAACAACCCCTCCCCCATATGCACACACATACACATACAACATACACATATAAACAAATAAAGTTTAGCTGGGGAATGGTAGTACACCCGTGTAAGTGCAGCACTTGGGAGGCTGAGACATGAGAGCCAAGACTATTTAGTGAGGTGCTTCCTCAAGAATAAGAAAAAGAAAAAAAAGTTTATACTATATTTGTATGTGTGTGTGTTTATCTTTGTGTGTATGTGTGTGTGCATGTATGTGAGTGTGTTTGAGTGTGGGCAAAGACATGCCACTCTGAACGTGTGGATGTCAAAGGATAATCTCAGGGGTTGGTTCTCACCTTCCATGTTGTTTAGAGCAGTCTCTCGTTCACTGCTGCATATGGTAGACTTCATGACCTATGAGTTTCTAGAGTCTCCTGTCTTCACCACTCTCTTGCTGTAGGAGTGCAGAGATTACAGATGCACATGCCACTGTGCTTGGCTTTTGACATGGGTTCTGGGGACCTGAACTCAGGTCCTCACACTTGTGAGGCAAGTCCTTTGTCTACTGAGCCATCTCCCCAGACTGGTTTGTTTGTTTGCACATACTAGATAGGTGTCTACCACTGAGCTACAGCCAAACCCTTTCATTTTATTTTGAGAGCCTCACTAAGTTGCCAAGGCTGGTCTGGAACTCACGATCCTTCTGACTCAGCATTCCCAGTAGCTGAGGTTACAGGCATGTGCCATCGTGCCTGACTTTACTATATATACATTAATAGGAAAACAACACAGAAAAATGTGGAGATGGCAAGTAGATGAGTGATAAAATTTTATATTTACAGTTTACTCTAAGAAGAGCCTGAACTACATCTGAATTACATGCATTTTAAAGATTCCCACAGGATGGGCTGGAGAGGTGGCTCAGAGCTTAAGAGTATTGACTGCTCTTGCAGAGTACAGGTTGGATTCCCAGCACCACATGGCGGCTACCAACTGTCCTTAACTCCAGTTCCTAAGGGATGTGACACCCTCTTCTGACCTCCGTGGGCATTGTAAGACACAGGTGAACCTACCTACATACAAGCAAAACACTCATACACATAAAATAAAAATAAAAGGATTCCCATGGGAAAACTATGGAAATCATCCATACACGGTGTTGAGGATGTTGTAGAGTAACTGCATAGCAAGCAAAAGAGCCTGAGATTTGCAGTGCCATAAAAATAAATATAAATAATGTACAAACCTGTCATATTTCTGGGTCCAAGATTCTTCTATAGTCTTAAATCTATCCTGATCAAATTCCATTTCCCATTGCAAGGCATTTATTTCCTATGGAAAGAACAACAACACTTTCAAATAAAAATAGAGAAAATTTTAAAAAGAAAATAGAGCTGGAGAGATGGCTCAGTGGTCAAGAGCAGGTGTTGCTCTTGCAGAGGACCTGAGTTCCCCTCCCATGTCCCCACTGGGAACACCTGTAACTCCAGCTATAGGGACACTGATGCCTTCTTCTGGCCTCCACAGGCACCCATAAACAAATAAAAATAATTTTTTTTTAAATTTGCTTTTTGGCTGGGTGTGGTGGTGCACGCCTTTAAACCCAGCAGTTGGGAGGCAGAGGCAGGAGGATCTTTGTGAGTTTGAGGCCAGCCTGGTCTACATAGTAAGTTCCAGGACAGCGGGGGCTACAAGGAGACCCTGTCTCAAAAGAGAGAAAAAAAAAAGTTGCTTTTTGGTCTTTTTGAGACAGGGTCTCCCAGTAGCCCCAGCTGGCCTGGAACTCACTATGTAGACCAAGCTGGGCTTGAACTCAGAAATCCACCTGCCTCTGCCTCCCAAATGCTGGGCGCCACCACGTCTGGCCATTGTTTTATCATTTTATAGAACAGTTTAAAGAGGAAAAATTACCACTCAGAAAAAGGGTCTATGACATTTGCAAAATACATCTAACATCCCTCTTTAGCACTCAGAGCTTTGACAAGGCTCCATTAGTACATTAAAAAAATTCAAATTGTTTGGGTTTAAAATTTGCTGGATTAGCTGGGCATGGTGGTGCACACCTTTAATCCCAGCATTTGGGAGGCAGAGGCAGGAGGATCTCTGTGAGTTCGAGGCCAGCCTGGTCTACTTAGTGAGTTCCAGGTCAGCTGGGGCTACAGGGAGACCCTGTCTCAAAAAGATCCACCCCCCAAAAATTGGCTGGATTAAGGTCAGATTTCTCAGTGCCTATCTCTGCCCATGTAGACACCAGAAACTAAATTCACTTTTGGAAGACTGAATCCAAATGGCCCCAATCAAGGGAAGCACAACACAAGAAAGGGACATCTAGGGAGATTCCCAGATCCCTGAATAGTGAGGAGGTGGTGATCAGAAACACGCTGACCCTATCAGGAGGGTAGAGGAAGAAGAAAGGTGAGATGTACCTCTTTGACAGGCTGCTACCATGAATAAGGAAAAGGAGGAAAGCTTACTTTTCTCTGTGACAATCTGCTTTAGATTTAAGCCCCCAAAGGGAAAAATATCAGAGACTGAAGCACAGTCAGCAGAGGATAAGACACACCCATTACTATGGTGAGCTTAAAGAAATCATATTTAAATCTTAGCAGATTGATCAAGCCAATGCTAATGGTGGTAAATACCTTCTCCAAGGATCTCTTTTGTTCTATAGTTTTTTGAAGCACTGCCTGGGTGTGACTTGTGGCTTTGCCAAGTACAGCCTAAGAAAAATAAGAACAGCATCAGTAAAATTAAATTTCTAAATATTCCTATATGCACAGTGAAATTTATAGTTTATTTAGATAACAGAAAAGTAGTGAGGTAAGAAATTCACACCTATAACCTTTAGTGAAGACTTTGATAGTTCCAAATTCAGAAAAGCTTGGTTTGGCTCTTTCCCAGTAAGTATGAGAATGAATGTATGAATGAATTGTCTACACAAGGAAAAGCACATAACAGCATTATTCATCATAGTCAAAAAGAAGAAATAGGGGCTGGAGAGATGGCTCAGAGTTTTTAAAATATTTTATTTATTATTATTTTTTTCACAGAGGATAGGGGTTTATTTGCAGAAGAGTGGGTGCCCCACATTTACAGCTGCATTGTAAAGTCCACACTCAAATACAGATCCTGTGACTTCCCAACAGCCGCACAAAATGGTGAGAGAGGTGCCTCTTGGTGTTCACAGCTTATATATCCTTTGCCCCTCACTCCACATGCAGCTAAGGTCAACTGATTGGGTGGGAGGGGTAACTGACTCTCCCCTGACTCCTTGATGAGCATGGGAAGGAGGTGTGACTATAGCTTGCCAGCATAGTGGTTGGAGGACACTTCCAGTGAACACTCCATCCCTTCCTCTGGCTTTTACATTCTTTCTGCCAACCACTTCCGCAAAAGTCCCTGGAGATGGCTCAGAGTTTAAGAACACTTGCTGCTCTTGCAGAGGACCTGTGGTTCTGTTCCCAGCACCCACAATGAGTGGCTCACAACGACCTGTTCTGGCCTCCAAGGGCACCTTACATGCACATACAAGCAAGCAGGCACACACACATGCACATAAATAAAAATAAGTTAATTTAAAAAAGAAATAGCCCAAATATCCATCAAGTGATGGGTAAGCAGATAAACAAAACATGGTATGGCTTTACAATAGACTACTACTTAGCAATAATAAAGAAGAATTGATATATGCTATAACATATAGAACCTCAAAAATGTACTGACTTAAGTATTACAGACACAACTTACATGGTTCTGTTTGTTTGAAACAGAAAAAGTTAGACAGCAGGGGCTAGGGGTTGGAAAGAGAAGCAACCGCTAGTGTGTGCAAGGTTCATCTTTTTGGATATTGGAAATGTTCTAAATTTATATTGTGGTGACAGTTGCACAACTCAAAAGTTTAGTAAAAATAAACTTTTTTATTGTGCACTTAAGCACATGAAATTGATGGCATGTAAATTATAAAGCTATTAAAATATCTATATCTTGGGCTGGAGAGATGGTTCAGCTGGCTGCCCTTGCAGAGGACACAGGTTCGAGTCCCAGCACCCACATGGCACCTACTGAACAGCAGTAAGTACAGTTCCAGGGAATCCAACACCCTCTTCTGACCTCTACAGGCATTACACACATGGGTGCACTTATATACATGCAAGCAAAACACTTATACACATAAAAAAAGTAAATAAATAAAAATTTAAAATATATTTAGCCAGGCATGGTGACACATGCCTTTAGTCCCAGCACTTGGGAGGCAGAAGCAGAAGGATCTCTGTGAGTTTGAGGCCAGCCTGGTCTCCATAGTGAATCTAGGCCAGCTGGGGCTAGAGGGAGACCCTATCTCAAAAAGACCAATAAAATAAAATAAAATAAAATAAAATAAAATAAAATAGTAAAATAAAATATATTTATATTTCAGGGTCTGGAGAGTTGGCTCAGCAGTTAAGACCACTGACTGTTCTTGTAGAGGACCTGGGTTCAATTACCAGCACCCACATGGCTCCTAATAACTGTTCTAACTACAGTTCCAGGGGATCTGACACCCTCTTCTGACCTCTGTGGGCACTGCACAACATGGGTGCACTTATACACATGCAGGCAATATACTCATACACATAAAATAAAAATAATAAATAAAATATTTAAATATATATCTATTTTTTTAAAAACCTAATAACTTTATTAAGTACTGCTATTTTTATTTTACAAGGTAAAAATATGCACTAATTCCTGGGTTGGTGTGTGTGTGTGTGTGTGTGTGTATGTTTCAGACACACGGTCTTAAAATGTAACCAAGCCTGGTCTTAAACACTCAATCCTCCTGCCTCTGCCCCCTGAGCTCTAGGATTACAACACCACTTACTACTGGAATGTGTAAGTGATGAAAGTTTAAAAATAGCTTCTTACCATGCTTTGAAGGATTTTCAATGCTTCTTCTTTAGCTTCAAGTTGTCTTTGAGATGCTTCAAGTTCAGTTTTTAAAATTTCTACTTCCTGAAGACAGAAATACAGTAAGTCTTCTGCCTTCAAGACATGTAAACCCCCACGTTTACCCTTGACTCAAAGCACCTACAAATGGAGTTGTAAGTTCTTCTAGACATTTATGTGAACCTGTCAGGCTAAAGCTGAGAGCCAGTTGTAGCAAAAAGCCAAAGTCTTTTGCTTTTATGCATGTAGGTTACATGGCTAATAATATGAAAAGGAAAATCTTGGTGGTGTTTTGCTTTTTGACACAGGGTCTCATGTAGCCTCAAAGTTGGTACATAGTCAGGGATGGCCTTGAACTTCTCATCCTCCTGCCTCTACTTCCCAAGTGCTGGGATTACAGACATGTACCACCATGCCCGTGTAAAAAGAAAACCTTTTAGGCCACATAAACAGCACATCTACACAGCTGCAGTAGCTACTGTGATGTGAGCTGTATGCTCCCCACCTGCCAAATTATGTTCAGTACCATGAATATGACCTTATTTAGAAAGGTCTCAATAGATTAAGTAAAAAACAAAACGAAAGAAAACCTTTAGACAAATTAGATTTAGCGGAATCTGAGTGAAGAATGATTCCAGATACTCTCTAACCAGAAGAGGTTGCAGGCTGGAGAGATTGCTTGGTGCTTAAGAGCACTTACTGCTTTTCCAGCGGATCAGAATTCAGTTCCCAGCACCCATGGTAGGTGGCTTATAACCCCCTGTAATTCCAGCTGCAGGGGATCTGGCTTCTTTTGGCTTCTATGGGTACCTGCACTCATGTACACACAGACACACACACACAATTAAAAATAAAATAAATCATCCCAACACTTGGGAGACAGAGGCAGGTGGATCTCTGTGAGTTCGAGGCCAGCCTGGTCTACACAGTGAGTTCCAGGCCAGCTGGAGCTACTGGGAAACCCTGTCTCAAAAAAAGACCAATAAAAATAAATTAATTAAATAAATAAATCCTTAAAAAAGGAAAAGAAGGGACTAAAGAAATGGCTAAATGGTTAAGAACACTGGCTGCTCTTGCAGAAAACCTGGGTTTGGTTCCCAGCACCCACATGGTAGCTAGGAACTGGAGTTACAGACATTGTCATCTGCCATGTGGGTGCTGGGAATTGAACCCAGGTCCTCTGGAAGAGCAGTCACTACTCTTAACCACTGAGCTATCTCTCCAGCCTCAACTAGTGCTCTTTTTTTTTTTTTTTTTTTGGCTCAAAGGCGTGTGCTACCATGCCCAGCTTCTCAACTAGTTAGTGTTCTTACAAAGTGAGAAATCTTGAACACAAATACTCAGAGGATACGGCCACAAGAGACAGAGACAGCCTGCAACTGGATTTATGCAGCTAGAGCCTAGGAATGCCAAGGCCTGCAGCAACTTTAGAAGCCAGGAAGAGGCAAAGAAGGCGTGGAGCCTTCAGAGGCAGCATGGCATTCCAAAACCTCGATTTCAGACTTCTTGTCTCTAAATCTGAGAGTGGATTTCTATTTTAAACTTCCAGCTTGTGGTATTTTGTCACAGCAGCCCAGGAAGGTAATTAATGTACTCACTTTCCCAAGAGGATTTATGCATACACTAAACTGGGCTTCCTGTTTCCTAAAGGACAGGCACACTACTGAAACTATGTCCACCATTCTGGTGATGGTCATGGGTCTCAGACCACCTGAGAGATTCTTCAGAGGTTCCCAACCTTCTGGCTGCCAAGCTTTTTCTCTCCCAGAAATCAGGGCACAACCCCTGCAGTCTCTCCCATTCCAGACATAGGGCTGATAAGGAGCTTCCTGTGACCTTGCAGCTCCTCCCTCTGCCTTGCAGCTACAGGGTGTTTACTGCTTTACCCTAGTTCAGGCTAGGTGATGTGGTATGGGGCACCCTGAACTCCATGAAAACTTCCTTTGTTCCCCGGCATTGAAGGCTGTCTCCCTTTAAGTCCCCAATCACCCTGCCTGTGGTATGTATGATGCTGTCTCTTGAGTTCAGTCCCTGGTACCCACATGGTGGAGAAAGGAGAGAAGTGACTCCTTGTTTTCTAATCTCCACGTACATGCCATGGCACATGTGCCCACATATACACAAAAGTTAATTAATTAATTAATCAATTTTCGGGTTTGTTTTGTTTTTTGAGGCAGGGCCTCCCTGTAGCTGCAGGTGAACTGGAACTAGCTCTATAGACCAGGCTGACCTCAATCTTCACAGAAATCTACCTGCCTCTGCCTCTCAAATAAAATATTTTTTTTATTCTTTATTTTTTATTTTATGTGTGAGTGTTATATGCCTGCATGTATATAAGTGCACCCATGTCATGCAACGCCCACAGAGGCCAGAACAGGGAGTCAGATCCCCTGGAACTGGAGTTACGGATGGTTGTTAGTCACCATGTGGGTGCTGGGATTTGAACCTGGGTCCTCTGCAAGAGCAGCCAGTGCTCTTAACCACTGAGCCATCTCTTCAGCCTGAATTATTATTATTTTTTAAGACAAGAAGCATGAGAAACAGGAGGCTAGTTGAAAAGTATGAGCACAAGAGGGGAAAAAAAGGAGGCTGCAGGGAGGTGATAGGACACTTGCTTTGTATGCACATGGGACCTACCTCTAAAGTTTCACGAAGACATTGCCTTAGTTGTTCATTTGACAATTCTGAATTAGAATCTATTGGGGGGAAAAATTGTATTTTTTTAGTTAAATATACAGTGTTTATAAAATATTACACTTACATTTTTTCTAAATTGAAAAATGAGAAAAAATTTAATAAGCTAAAAATAAAAATATGAAGCCTTTTTCATGCATGAAAAGACACATAGTTTTGAATAAAAGATTTTTAAAGGTTTGCAATATGAAACTTATGTTAATGAATCGGCTAATTAAACACAAATGTGTAGAAAAATGTGAATGTTGATGAGTAATGTAAGTGAATTTTGGTGTTTAGCTTAAGGTTAATCAGTGCAGTAGTAAGAATGTCTAGGACTAAATCTTAATTTCTCTCCAAAGACAGTAACATACTGCAGGTCTTCTGTAACCTTCACTGCATAGTCTGTTCATTGACATTATTCCTAGAACCCAGACCTGCACCTGGCACCAAATGGTACCCAATGAATAACTGTTAAGATTGGGGGACTACATCACAAAAAAGGAAAGTAGGTTAGCACCTACAAATATCATGTGCTTCATAACTGCTACAATACTTGAAAATAAAAATATCAGTGTTCTGGCTAGTTTTTGTCAACTTGATACAAACTAGAGTCACCTGGGAATTGCTTGTTGGATTGGCCTGTGGCCATGTCTGTAAGATCAAGCATTTTCATAATTGCTGATTGATATAGAAGGGCCCTGCCCACTGTGGGCAGTGACATCCCTAGGCAGGTGGGCCTGGGCTGTATAAAAAAGGTAGCTGAGGGGCTGGAAAGATGGCTCAACAGCTAAGTACATTGGTTGTTCTTGCAGAAGACCCGGGTTCGAATCCCAGTACCCACATGGCAGCTAACAACTGTCCATAACTCCAGTTACAGGGGATCCGACGGCCTCTTCTGTCCTCACAGGCATTGCACGACACGGGTATACTTACCTACATGCAGGCACATAAAATAAAAAGAATAAAATAGTTTTTAAAAAAAGGTAGCTGAGCAAGCCATGGGAAGCAAGCTAATAAGCAGCATTCCTCCATCTTTGTTTCAGTTCCTGCCTCTTCTACGATTACTGATTTTCATGTGTAACAAATAACAGCACAGACAATATTCACAGGGGAAAGGAAGGAAAGCCCAGCCTTCTTACCAGTGCTGCTTTGCCGGCTGTAACTGAAAACTCTGGAGCCTTGAGGGCATGTGTCTTGAAAACCCCTGCTCTTGGCATACTGGAGTATGGCTCCATCTCTTTCCTCCCTCTTTCTTGGAAGGGGAGTAGGGCTCAAGTTCTTCTCATCTGATCTTTTTCTAGATGTAAGGGAATGTGAAACCCCCACTTCATAAAGACCACCAGGTCTTCCTCCGAGGCCATACCCTAGATCACCTTCTGTCATGTCATCCTCCTCTGGTTCCCATATCTCCTCAGACTCACTGGATGATCTCACTTTACTCATTAGCAAAATGTTGTCTTTACTGTAAGGGAAAACAGGTTGTAGTTAGAAGAAGCAGTAGTTAAAAACTAGGTAAAAGCCAGGCGTGGTGGAGCATGCCTTTAATCCCAGCGCTGGGGAGGCAGAGGCAGGTGGATCTCTGTGAGTTCAAGGCCAGCCTGGTCTACATAGTGAGTTCCAAGCCAGCTGGGGCTACAGAGAGACCCTGCCTCAAAAAGACAAAAAAAAAAAAAAACTAAGTAAAAAGAAGTTGGCAGGTACAGCAGCCCCCTTGTTTTTTTTTCCCCCCAAACAACCTGAAATCATTACATCAAAGAGATGTCTGCACATCCATGTCCATTGCAGCACTAACTTACAATGGCCAGGTTATGAATAAGACAATGTGGTGTCTATTCACACACTCACTTGGAATATTATTCAACATTTAAAAAGAGGGATATTTTCTGGTTCTCCACAGCGTGAGGGGAATTGAATAATACTATGCCAAGTGAAATGAGCAAGATTCAGAAAGACAAATACTGAAAGTTTCCTGCCTTCTGTCTTGTCCCTTCTCAGCCCTTTACATTAAGGGTTTAGGGTACTTTTGGCTCTGTGTGGTTCATTTTCTAGTTTCTTACAGACCCACTTAATGGAGGCGTCCTATTTGTAATAGTGAACAGGTAGGGGAAGGAGTCTCTCTCAATTTCTTCTGTTTTTTTGCAAATCACATTGCGTTCAAAACCTTCCACAATTTTGCACCTCAGAGTAAAAACCAAAACCCACTCACTGGCCAAAGGTCACTCTGTCCCATCTCTTGTCATCTCTCTGCTGGCTACCTGAGACTCCCTGTTGTTCTTGGACATACCAAGCATTCTGCACCCCAGAGTTCTGTGTTACGTCTGTCTGACTGTTCCTTTTCTAGATACGTGCACACTTGGCTGCTCAGTCTCTTTGGGCCATTACTTTTTTAAAAAAGATTCATTTGTGTGTGTGTGTGTGTGTGTGTGTGTGTGTGTGTGTGTGTGTGTGTGTATGTTTAAGTGCAGGTGTCTATAGAGGCCAGAGGCATCAGATCCTCTAGGGCTGGAGCTATGGACAATTGTGAACTATCCAATGTGGGTGCTGGGTATTGAACCCTGGCCCCCTGAAAGACAGCAAGTACTCTTAACCACTGAACCATCTCTCCAGCCTCTCTTTGGGTCGTTACTTTAGTGTCACCTTCTCAATGGGGCCTTTCCTGGCTGGGAATATAGCTCAGTGGCAGAGCGCTTGCCTAGCATGCATAGGCCCTGGGTTCTTCCCCTAAACTGCAAAATTAAATAAATAAAGTTGCAAGCTCATCTAGGTATGATAGTACAGGTTTGTTATCTCAGCTCTTGGGAGGCAGAGGCAGGAAGATTGCCAGTTCCTGGCCAGCCTGGGCTACAGAAGAGCCTGTCTCAACAAACAATATCCAAAACAAAACTGCAAGCTGCTCTTGGTCCTCACACTTCTCAGCTTTACTTCTTTCCTCAGCACCATATTTTACTTATTTTTCAAATTATACCACTAAAATCTGGCCAACAAAGTTGGGGAGTTGAGTGAAGCAGCTGACTCTGGGCTCCTGATGGTATGTGTGTCTCTCACCAGGCAGGGCACCCATTGGGTCAGTCACCTGCACACCTCACCACAACTCAAACTTGCCCAAACAGCCTCAAGTAGAATGGAAGCCCCCCAAAGCTAAACAATTTTTGTCTGGTTCTCTCAGTGCTGTTCTAGAGCCTAACCCAATTCATAAAACAAGATCCTTGTACAATAAAGACTTGTTTAATAAACTAATCAGAGAAGGGAGAAAAGAGTAAACAGAAATACTTGCCTCTAAGACAAGAAAGGGAAATAGTCACATCAGCAAGGTTGATGTGGGAACCACAGCTCTACAGCTTGGTCTCCTTTCCAGAAGAAAATGTCTCCTGGCAACAGCGCTGAGAGAAATCACCATCACTGACCACCCACAGACCACTGGCGCCACCTACTTGACCCTGGCTTTCAACATCGGCTTTCAACACCAGGCATTTCAAAACAATGGCTTTGCTGCAGCTGTGTGGAAATAGTACATCCTCTTCTCAAGGCGAGCTAAAAAAATTTCTGAGGTGCTGGAGCGATGGCTCAGTTAAGAACACTTGCTATTCTTCCAGAGGACCTGGGGTCAATTCCCAGCATCCCACATGGTAGTTAACAACTGTCCATAACTCCAGTTTCAGGGGATCTGACACCCGCTCCTGGCCTCTGTGGGCATTGCACAGATGTGGTGCATTACATACATGCAGGCAAAACACTCATATACATAAAATAAAAATAATAAAAAAATTCTGAATAGAGCTTCAATCAGTGAGATGAAAAATTAATTAAAATAATAATAAGTCTTAGGGAGATGAGAGTGGAAATATAAATATCCTTCTGTTTCAGCAGTTGCTTACTAGGGCTTTCAAAGAAATGAAATCTCTTGGTTTTCCACTATCAAAACCAAAAAATATATAGAAGCCATATGAATCTCATATATGAAATTTACCCGTTGTTTTTAGGATCAAAGTGCCCTGTTTCAACATCATTAATCATCAGGCAGTTGTAAACTGAAAGCATTTGAAATTCTACCACACACCACTGGTGCTTCCAAGTGCTGCCAAGGATGTGGAATGATTCAAACACACATACTGTTAGGGGGAGTATGAAATCATACAATCAGGGTGGAAAATGGTTCAATGGGTTCTTATAAATATGTGGCCCAGCAATTGTGATCTTCAGTATTTATCCAAGAGAGAAATGGACCTTTGTGTCTGCACAAAGATGGGAGTATCAGTATTCGGATCTTACTCAAATTAGTCAAAAATTGGAAATAGAGGCTAGAGAGATGGCTCAGCAGTTAGGAGTGCCTACTGTACAGTCATGATGTCTGAAGTTCAGACCTATGTAACAAACCAGGCATCCCACAAATGCCTGTAACTTCATCTTTGTGGGATCCGATACCCTTTTCTAGCCTCCACGCTTTGCACACCCACAGAGATATATGTATACACAGAGACATAACTAGAAATAATCCAAGAATCTATCTCCAGAAATGACCATACAATATACATTAAACAGTAAACTTAATGTACACACTTGTAATTCCAGCATTCAAGGACAGAAGCAAGACATCATAAGTTTTAGGCTAGCCTGAGCTACACAGCAAACCCTTGTCTCAATAAAAAAAAAAACAAGCCCAGCAAGCCTTACACCCTGGAGCCAGAGGCAGGTGGAGCTTTGTGCATTCCAGGCCAGCCTGGTCTACATAGCTAGTTCCAGGCCAGCTGGGAGACCCTGTCTCAAAAAGACAAAAAACAAAACAAACAAAACACAGATGCATTTATTGCATTTGCCCAGTACTGCCAGCAAATAAGTATACTGGTGACCCAATTGGTGGCCACAATGACTGGTTTACTCTGAACCTTCCAGGTTATCATGCCATTTAAGTAGGTCAATGACAGTTATTAGATTAATAGTTGCCTGAGGTGGGACAACCGACTTCAAAAGTCATGAGGAAATTTTTGAATAGTTATAAAACAGTTCTATATTTTGACCAGAGTGATAATTTACCGAAACTCAACAAACTGTATAGTTATATTGGGCATGTTTTATTTTATGTAAATAGAAAAAACCTAACTAGATATGAGAAGTGTGTCAATTAGTTGTGCTTTCCTAGGGAAAAAAAATAAACTCATTAATTCAGCTTGCTATGCTGTCTGGCCTTGAACTCGATACCCTTCTGTCTCAGACTCCCAATGCTGGTATTACAGATTTATGCTACTAGATATGACCACAATTTTTCTTGTCTGAGACAAGGCCTCCCTGTAGCCCCAGCTGTCCTGGAACTTGATATGTAGACCAGGCTGGCCTTGAGTTCACAGAGACCCCTGCCTCTGCCTCCCGAGTGCTGGGATGAAAGACTTGCACCACCACCTGGCCTGACTACAATTTTTTTTAAAAAAATGATATACTAATAGCCAGCACTTATTGCTTACTTTCTGTGTTAGGAATCGTTCTAAGTTCTTTACTTGATTATTGTTAGATTTAGGAGGGCAGAAAAGGAATGGAATTTAAAGTTAAATAAGAACCAGAGCCAGACCTGCAACAGGCAAAGGAATGTGTCCTCTTTATTCAGAGGACACAGCAAAAGGCTAAGGCCTAGTCTCACAAAGAAGGCATCTACTTTGAAGGGAGGGGCAGTTTCCATGTTTATAGGAATTCTGCTGTACACAGCTGCAGGAGTTTACTCAGCACCAGGGTCTGTGTCCTTGATAGAGATTCTTCCTCCCAATTGATAGGTAAAGTAGCCATGGATGAATCCGGTTGATCAGGAGAAAGCACCAGGACACAGATAAAACTCCATCAGAATAGAGTTTATTAGCAAAGAAACACATGGGACAGATTCCCTTCCGGTCAGGGAAAATGTCTGCTGGGGTCTTTTAAAGGGGGAGGCTTTGGGTGGGGGGGGTGCAGAAGGTGGGAAGATATATTTTTTTAAGTTGGGGGGGAGCGGGAGAGCGGGACTATTAAAACCTGCCCTCTTTAGAGATCAAAGGGGAAGCCTGCTGAGTTGGCCAAGCAGTGGAGAAAAGTCTGCTTCTCTTGACTTCAAAGACCAGGGTGCTTATCAGCTCTGTTCCCTTTTCTCAGGGGCTTGTGAGGCCCTATTGGTGAGGGGGCGGGGCAATCTGAACCTTAACACCAATATTATTTTTCTCAGGCAGGTGAGCTACCTTAGGGCCCTATAAAGGAGACAGGTGGGCTCCATAAACAGTATCCCTCAGTCCAGGGAGTGACCAGTTGATAAGGCTTGAGCAAGGCCAGGCTGCCAATTTAGGGCCAGTAAGTCACTTTAAGGGATTTATGGCTTTCCCTAATGAGGTCCTTCTGCTGTTCACACATTCTATTAATCATTCTATTTAGTCTTCACAAACACTGCAAGGCATTGGCTAGTATGGCTAACAGCTGATAAAAGGTAGAGCTAATGCCTAGTGACAGAGTTAACACTGGTCTATATCATTTGGAGAATTTCAATGAGATGTGGTATATACCAAGTTTCCATTATTATGATATTAAATAGAACTGAAGATAAAAATAAAAAACAGCAAGTTAGAACAAGAAAACAGACTACTAGATTAATTCTTTCCATTTTAGTTTGTTGGTTTGAGACAGAATCTCCCTTTAGCCCCAGCTGGCCTGGAACTTGCTATGTAGAGGCAGGAGGATCAGAGAAGTTCAAGGTCATCCTCTGCTACACAGTTAAAAGTTGGAGGCCAGCCTGGGATCCATGAAACCTTTTTTTTTCAGTGTGAACACAGTTTCCCACTACCACAAATTATGCTATGCAGTTGAGTCTCCCACATTTGGGGAAATCTCAGAGGTTAGCACATCTGGAGTGCCAAGGATAAGCCTCACCCTGGGCAAACCATCTTCATGATCATGGTATCTCCTCTGCCAGATAAGTATGAAATCTTGGGTGTTTTGTTTTGTCTTTTTGAGACAGGGTCTCCTTGTAGCCCCAGCTGTCCTGGAAGTCACTATGTAGACCAGGCTGGCCTCAAACTCACAAAGATCCGCCTGCCTCTGCCTCTCAAGTGCTGGGATTAAAGGTGTCCGCCACCATGCCTGGCCCCCTGAAACGTTGTTTTTAAAGAAAATCTATTTTAATTTACTTATCAAGGCAGATAGGTAATTATCTATGGAATCAAAGAATAATGTTCTTGGGAGACTATGTTTTACCACTGTGAATAAAAGTTCCCAGGGGGGGGGAAACAAACAAACAAAAAAACTTCCATCTTCAAACTGGACTTTCTCCTGCAAGGCTGATCAACTGATTAGAACTTCAATGAATGTGGAGAGTTTGGCATGTTGCAGGTCCAGAGTCTAATTACCATTTATCTCAGGCCATCTTTAGCCCCCTAAACAGCCATTCCTTGCCCACCTCTGTTTCTGATCTAATATTCTGTGACTAACAGATAAAAAACCTTTTAGAATCATTCACAATAGTGAGGAAATAAATCTCTGCTCACTTCCACAAGCAGAGACTTGTAGGAGAGAGAAGAACGTGGAAGGGCAGTCCCCCTGCTAACCTTTAGCAAATGGGCTGTTAGCAAATGGGCCACTGTGGGACAGAGTGTGCTAGGTACTCTGAATATGCAGCAGTGGCCAAAAAGCTAAGTGGGGCAAGGAAGAGTCCTTGTTTTTACACTGATGGAGGGTGCTGATGGGTAGAGGAGAGGAAAAGATGTGGCTGCATTGTCCATCACCCTCAGTCTCAGTAATCCTTACTGCACACAGAAAGGTACTCTCTTTTCTACTCTTGCTTATTGGGATGGAGAACAGACACGGGAGGGAGTGGAAGTCAGGGCCTGATTGAAGAATGTCTGTCATCTCCTGTTCATGTATTTATTCAGTGAACACATTTATTGATTTTTGTCTCCTAGAACATGCAGGGTACAAATGCCAGGCATAGAGGACTACTGAGTTCTGACATCCCAACTTATAGCGAGGAAAGAAAAGGATATACAGATGGAATCCTAGCACTATTCGAAATGCTGTGTTGAAAGTCTGAACCGTGTGAAGCAGGGTGTGAGGGCTTCTTCTAGCCTCTTTTTTTTTTCTGCTTGCTTGTCAAATCCAATGACTGCTGTTGCATCTAATCCAGTGTGGAATTAAAAAAAATAATTTATTATTTTAAAAAAAAAACTTTTTAGAATGTATTATCCGAGCAGACCACCTGGTCTCACCAATCAAAAGGCTAAGAATGTCATCAGATAGCATCTGAGGCCTATAGTAAAAAACCCCTCGCTTTGCTACGACCTGCCTACTGAATGTATCGCCAATGTATTTGAAAAGTGTCTTGATTTATGACTTTTCTTTGTTCTGTTACTATAAAAATGTAAGCCAACTATTACCACGCTGGAACATGGTATTTGGGGAAACCTAAATCTGTGTTCCCTGGCCACGGTCACTCATATTTGGCTCCAGAATAAACCATCTCTAGTCTTTAAGGTGAGAGCTGTTTATTTCGACACCACTATAGTATAGATTCCTGCTTATTAAGTGCAGTCTTACACCTTCATTAAGAACTGGGTGGCTGGGGCTGGAGGGACGTCTCAGCAGTTAAGAGCACTGGCAGTGCTTGTAGAGCACCCAGGTTTGGGTCCCAGCACCCACATGGTGGCTAACAACCACCTGTAACTTCAGTTCCAGGGTATCTGACACTCTCTTCTGACCTGAGGGCATTGCATGATGTGGTGCACTTATATGCGCATACAGACAATACAGTCATACACAGAAACAATAATAAATAGGGGTTGCAGAGATGACTCAGTTGTCTTGTAAAGACCCAGGTTTGAATCCCAGCACCCACATGACAGTTCACAACTGCCCATATCTCCAGTTCTAGGGGATCTGACACCCCCTTCTGGCCTCCATGGGCACCCAGGACACAGGTACATTTACATACATACAAGCGTAACACTCATACATATAAAATGAGAGATGGCTCAGTGGTTAAGAACACTGTTCTTGCAGAAGACCCGGGTTCAAATCCCAGCACCCACATGACAGCTAACAATGGTCCGTAACTCCAGTTCCAGGGGATCTGACAGCCTCTTCTGTCCTCCGAGGGCATTACTGCACGACATGGGTGCACTTAACTACATGCAAGCAATACATGCATACACATAAAATAAAAATAACAAAATATATATATATAAGGGTCTGGAGAGATGGCGAAGTGGTTAAGAGCTCACTGTTCTTGCACAGGACCCAGGTTCAATTCCCAGCACCCACATGGTGGCTATGAATCATCCTTAACTCCAGTTCTGGGGGAATCCAACGCTCTCTTCTGACCTCCGTGGCACTGCATGACATGGGTGCACTCACATACATGCAAGCAATACACTCATATATATATAAAGAATACATATATATAAAAAGAATATACATTTAAAAATAAAGCAAATTTTTAAAAATTAAAAAATATTAAGTTAAAAAAAAAAAAAAGCCGGGCGTGCTGGTGCACACCTGTAATCCTAGCACTCAGGAGGCAGAGGCAGGCAGATCTCTTTGAGTTCAAGGCCACCCTGGTCTACAAAGTGAGTTCCAGCCCAGCTGGGGCTATAGGTAGACTCTGTCTCAAAAAGACAAAAAAAAAAAAAAAAAAAAAAAAACCAAAAAACTGGATGGTCAGAGGCTGGAGATACAGTTCACGGATAGAACATTTGCCTAGCACATGTGGGGCCTGGGTTCAGTCCCCAGAATTTTTAAAAAATGGTGTAGTCAGGACTGGGTGTATAGCAACAAAGAAGACAGAATTGGTCAACCCTGGGGCTGGAGAGATGGCTCAGCATTAAGAACACTGGCTGCTCTTGCAGAGGACCTGGGTTCAATTCCCAGCACCCACATGGCAGCTAACAACCATCCATAACTCCAGTTCCAGGGAACCTGATGCCCTCTTCTGACCTCCTCAAGCATTACACAACATGAGTGTACCTATATACATGCAGGCATAACATTCATACACATAAAATAAAATTTTAAAAATTAAAAAAAATAGAATTGATCAACACAAAAGGAAAAGAAAGGCTCTAAGAGGAAAGTATAGGCAACCATAGAGTTAGACAAAGGGTTTTTGTTTGTTTTTTTTTCTGAGACAGGGTCTTGTTATATTGTCTTAGCTGACTTCAAATTTACTATGTTGTCCAGATTGACCTCAGACTTGCAATCTTGACTCTACCTGAGTACTCATGAGTATTGAGATTATAAGAGTGCATCAGCACACCCAGTTTAAGAATTTATTGCTATCATTGTTTTTGTTTTGGTTTGGGTTTTTTGAGACAGGGTCTCCCTGCAGCCACAGCTGACCTGGAACTCACTATGTAGATGAGGCTGGCCTCGAACTCACAGAGATCCACCTGCCTCTACCTGAGATTAAAAGTGTGTGCCACCATGCCTGGCTTATCATTGCTTTTTAAAATTTATTTTTATTTTATGTGTATGAGTGTTTTGCTTACATGTATGTAAGTGCACCATGTAGAGGCCAGAGAAGCCATCAGATTCCCCTGGAAATGGAGCTACAGACAGTTGTGAGCAGCCATACTGAAAACTGAACATGCCTCTGCAAGTCCACTGAACCATCTCTCCGGCCCTTTTTCATTGTTTTTTGAAACGGGTTCCATATATGTAGCCCAGGCTGCTTTGGGATTCACTATGTAGACTAGGTTGACTTTGAACTCATGATCTTGCTTCTTGAGTGCTGGGATTATAGGCATGCATCACCATACCAAGCAATATTTTCCCCTCCATTCTTCTACATCCCCCTCCCTCCCTCCCTCTTTTCTTTTTTGGACACCATCTTCCTGTATAGCCCTGGCTGCCCGGTACTCATTATGTAGCTCAGGTGGCTTTGAACTTTTAGCACTTCTCTTATCTCTGCTTCCAGAGTGTTGGGATTATAGGTGCATATCACCATGCCTAGCTCAATTTGTCGATGTACCACACATATTCCGATGCCATGGGTCACCTTGTCATTCAGGGTTAAATATAATGAATTTTCCTTTGCTCCAGTGCTCTATTGTTTTGTGAGTCTTTTTTTGTTTTAAAATTTCATTTGTTTTTATTTTTTACGTGTGTAAGTGCTTTGCCTGCATTGTTTAAAGTGCCCCACTGTGTACAACATTCACAGAGGCCAGAGGAGGGCATCAGATCCCCTGGAACTGGAGTTGCAGATCATTGTAAGCTGCCATGTGGGTGTTGGGAACCAAACCAGGGTCCTCTGTAAGAGTACCCAGTGCTCTTAGTCACTGAGCCATCTCTCCAGCTCCAGCTTTCTTTTTTTAATTAAAAAAATTTTACACATATGAGTGCTTTGCATGCATGTAAGTGCACCACATGTGTTCAATGCCCATGGAGGCCAAAAAGGGCATCAGAACAGGTGTTATGGATGATTGTTAGCCACTATGTGGGTGCCAAACCTTGGTCCTCTGCAAAAGTAATCAGTACTCTTAACCACTGGGCCATCTCTCTAGCCTCCTTTTTCCTTTCTTTCACTCTTCCTTTGGGTGTGTGTGTGTGTGTGTGTGTGTGTGTGTGTGTGTGTGTGTGATGGGATTTGAACCCAAAGCCTTGTACATGATGAGCACTCTACCAGCTATATCCCTAGCTTCCTTATTTTTTTAAATGTAACTTTCAAGTGTAGTATTAATATTGGACATAGTAAGAATCAAACTTTACTTTTGGGACTTCTTAGAATTACAAACCTAGTTAGTTGAATGTGTTTAATATTGATCAGGGAAGCAGCAGGATGTGGAACAGAAAGTGCTGCCTCAGGAGGTCTGTCTTAAAGCCCATTACTGCAGCTCTCTGATCCTGGATGAGTCACTGAACTGTTTGGCTCCAAAATGGATTTAGGTATAACTACTGTACAGGGTCTTGTAGGATACCATTGACATATTTGAGATCGGCTACAGCAGCCAAATAAATAATTAGAATTTGAGTATTAAACCAGATACAATGGTCTATGTGCAGGTACTCAAGAGGCCGAAGCAGAACGACTGCTTAAGCGCATGTGTTTAAGAGAAACTTGGGCAACAAAATGAGATCACACCCTCCTCCAAAGGGAAGAATTTAAGCATTAATTTGTTTGCTTATTGAGAAAAAGGATTCAATATGATTTGTGTGTGTGTGTGTGTGTGTGTGTGTGTGTGTGTGTGGGTCTTCAGACTACTAAACTCCTGTTTCTATGTCCATGTTTTCCAAAGTATGTTCCATGGAACACTAGTTCTCTGGCCTATTAAGGATTTTTAGAGATAAGAGAGTTCTTTTGATTTCATTAAGAAATGTTTTCCTATTCCAGACATACGTGACTGTCCTGAATTACACAGGCAGGCAGTGGGTACAGATGGACTAGAAATCATATCTGGCTACCTGACCAGTTCTCCAGCCACTGAGAAAGGACACAGAATGAAAAGATTACAGACTATTAGCAGTCTTCCTACTTTTTCACTGAAAACAACTCTTTGAAAAATAACTAGTGATTTGCTAACTGCTAAACTCAAGATTTAGACTCATTCTACAACCTCTAACTCTACAGGCGCTATGACGCCTTTAACTTGCTTCATAGGGTTTCTGGGACACCAGATCTTCTCAGCCTAGAAAGAAACCAGCTCCCCCTCTTTTGTGCCTTAAGCCTTCCTATCCGCTTGCACAGGCTTCTTCCTCCTCTGGTTCTTTCGGTATACATTTGTCTGCAACGTTTACCACACTTAAGTACACATCTCCAGCTGGGTATTCTGCCTGCAATACAAATACAGCTTGTTCCAAAACAAGTTCATCTCTTCCTAGCCCCTAATTGGGTCTCTTTCTGAGTCTCTGTTTTTACAAATATGTCAACTATGTTTCAAAACACTCAGTGTTAAACTTTGGAATCAAATTTTCCTTTTTTTTCTTTGAGCATCACATGCCTTCAGTTGCTAAGTTTTCTAGATTCAGGATCTCCCCATATCATATCATCTTTTCCATATTAAATTCCTGTTGAACTTCTGTTTACTTTTTCTGGGTTAAACAAATAATTTCTTAATTGATCTACCCAAACCATTCTACATTTTGCTGTCAAATCAATTTTTTATAATTTATTATTTTTATGTGTATGAGTGTTATGCCTGCATGTATGTAAGTGCACCTGTGGCCTGTTGTGCCCAAGGAGGACAGAAGAGGGCAATAGATCCCCTGGTACGGGAATTACAGATGATTGTTAGTTATCATGTGGGTGCAGGAATTTGAATCCAGGTCTTCTGCAAGAACAGTCAGTGTGCTTAACCACTGAGCCATCTCTCTAGGCCCCCCAAATAAATTATTTTGAAACATATCTAATAATCTCTTGTCCTAAATCATTTCATGGCTCCCAGTAGTGCAAGGAGTGTGAATCATTGGCTCATACCTAAGAGTTGTTCCAAAGATATTCAGTGAACAGGATTGACAGAGAAGGCACATTCCTGCTGGGAAAACATGAGGTAGAAGAATCTACAACTATTACTAGTCTGACAACGCTGCCTTAGCAAATAAGTTGGTCAAACAGCTCCCTACTTCCTGTCCAGCTTGGCAAAGAATTGATACAGCCCTCCTTAGTGAACCATGTCCTGTTTCACTTCACTGTCTGCAGGTTAACTTTTACCTTTAGAATAATTTTAGCTTTATGGTGAGTTGTAAAGGCAGTACTTAGAATTATTTATTCCTTATTCAAATCCTGTAAAGTTGGCATTTTTAGGGTACATTTATGAGACAAAACCACGGGCTCAGGCTATTAACTACTTTCGTGGATTTCCTGTTTTTCTAGAGGACTTTTCTGTTTGTTTTTGTTTCAGGATCTAAACCGGGATATTGTACAGCATTTAGTGGGCTGTAGGTCTAAGGCTCAAAATTAATAAAAAGCAACAGAGGTAAGAAAAAGAAGCAGGGTCTTTGAAATCCTACTTTCAGTGTCAGACGAGGCTGTTAGGCTGGCAGCAAGCGGAAAGGCCAGTTTACCCATCTGTCCACCACTTGCACTTTCCACCAGTCTGCGGCAAACCCTCCCCACCGCAGCTTCCCAGCCCACCCCTGCGCATCCCCCCCAGGATCAGGACCCGAAGCTCGAGCTGCGTGCGCCACCCTCGCCCCTCAGGGCGCTCACCCTGCCACCAAGCGTCCTCAGCCACGTGATGCACGGCAGCCGCCTGGGACCAGGAAGGGCCCGGGTCCGGGTGGGCCAGCGGCTTGCCAGCGCTCCCACGACCGGATCTCTATGCAACCGGATGTTAGCCGTCCGCCTCCAAGTTGAGCTCCAAAGCAGGATGGACAGCCGACATGGAAATAAAAGCCCTAGACAAAGTGGACGTCAACACAGGCAATTAAATAGTTTCAACACTAAGAGAAAAATGCACCTGAGCTGAGGTTCCCTAAGAGGCAGACCTTGAAAAGCAGACTTTTGGCAGTAAGAGACCTAGAAGGCAGGTTTGGAACGGAGGAACTGCAGGAGCAGAGGTGGCAGCAGGAAAGAACCAGAGCGAACCTCTAGAGAGCAGCTGCCAGCGACCTGCTCCTGTGGATTTCCTATCACAAGCGCTATAGGGCTTGTTAACCCCACCCAGACATGCTGGATCATCAACTTCATTACCACAGTGCCATGGTTTGGGTATTAATTCCTAAGATCAGCACCCGCGTAATAACTGGAAACTTTGTAGTTGTCATTTTCCTGGGTTTAAATGTAACGTAGCTTAGAAACAAAGAGATCAAATAAATTCTTTACTTCCAGTAATAAACCTCTTAATTCTAGTCTATATTTCCCTTAGTTACTTAGGTATGTGGAAATGACTTAGAACTGAGTTTATCTTGGGGACATTCACCCTCCATAGTGATTTGGATAGAGTCTTGCACATAAACTCTATGTAATCATTTAACTTCTGTGTTTGGTTCCATTACCTTTAGTCACCTACCTCCAAGTGACTGCGTGAATTCAGGGTTCAGTTTTTTTAAAAAAAAATATTTTATGCCGGGCGTGGTGGTGCACACCTTTAATCCCAGCACTTGGGAGGCAGAAGCAGGCGGATCTTTGTGAGTTTGAAGCCAGCCTGGTCTACATAGTGAGTTCCAGGACACACGTGCAGGGAAGACGACATTCCTCTTATCAAGTGCAATGCTGTCTACAGTGTAGATGCCCATTGTCAAACTAAAAATGTTCCTTTATAACCTTGGTTTGCTGGGATTTTTTTTTTAACTTTCTAATTGGATTTTTACAGTACTTTTTCTGCACCTATTATGATGATCCCATATTTTTGTTCTTAGTATGTTAAGATGATTGAATTTCATATTATATGAATATTACAATCCTGAGATAATGCAAGAAATTGCTTGGTCAAGGTATATCCTTTTACATATGTTTTAACATTATTTAGACTATTTTGAGCATACAGAGTTAAAATATATTATTAAGGTTAATTTCACCTTAATTTTTTTTTTAATTATTTTTATTTTATGTGTGTTCGTGTATTGCCTGCATGTAGGTAAGTGCACCTGTGTCCTGCAATGCCAATGGAGGACAGAAGAGGACATCGGATCCCCTGGAACTGGAGTTACAGACAGTTATTAACTGCCATGTGGGTGCTGGAATTCCAACCCGGTCTTTTGCAAGAACAACTGGTGTTCTGAACCACTGAGCCATCTCTCCAGCCCCCAGGGTTCAGTTTTGATAGGTGTTTTTAAAAGTGCCTGGCATAGTACTATATAAATGTTCTTATCATCCTTGTGTTTTGATAGTAAAAGTCCACAAACAAATATCCACCAGAGAACCAACTAACTCAATTGTGGCACTTCCTCAGTAGAATTCTACAAACTAAAAGATTAGAAATTCTAAAATGTAGAAAATAAATTAAGAGGATGACACCTGGCGTCAACCTCTGACCTCCACAAACACACACATACACCACAAATAAAAGATCATTAAGAATTCATGGGCTGGGGATATAACCCAGTTGGTGGAGTGCTTGCCTACAGTGATTGACGAAGCCCTGAGTTTGAGCCCCAGCACATGAAACGATGTGGTGGTTGTATGCCTATAATCTCAGCACTCAAGAGGTAAAAGGAGGAGGATCAGAAGTTCAAGGTCATCCTCCACTACACTGAACGCTCCAGGCCAATCAATCTTGGCTACATCATATCTTTTCTAAAAAAATAAAATAAAAAAATAAAGCTGGGCGTGGTGGCACATGCCTTTAATCCCAGCACTTGGGAGGAAGAGGCAGGCAGATCTCTGTGAGTTCGAGGCCAGCCTGGTTTACATAGTGAGTTCCAGGCCAGCTGGGGCTACAGGGAGACCCTGTCTCAAAAAGACCAATACTACTACTACTGCTAATAATAATAATAAAATAAAATAAATAACAACCAAAGAAAATCTGGGCATGGTGGCACACGTCTGTATCCCAGTACTGGGAGGCAGGAGGACTGTCACAATTTCAAAGTCAGCCCGAGCTACATAGTGAGACTCTGTCATAAAAAACACTCAAAGAAAGCCAGGTGTGGTGGCACATGCCTGTAGTCTCAGCACTTGGGAGGCAGAGGCAGGTGGAGTTTTGTGAGTTCAAGGCCAGCCTGGTCTACATAGTGAGTTCCAGGCCAGCTGGGGCTACAGGCAGACCCTGTTTAAAAAAAAAAAAAAAAAAAAAACACTAAAAGAGCCAGGCATGGTGGCACATGCCTTTAATCCCAGCACTCATGGGGCAGAGGCAGGTGGATTTCTGAGTTCAAGACCAGCCTGGTCTATATAGTGAGTTCCAGGCCAGCTGGAGCTACAGGGAGACCCTGTCTCAGGGAAAAAAAAAAAAAAAGAAAGAAAAAAGACCAAAACAGTAAAAGATGACATAATAGCACATGACCATGTTCAACATTAGGTGTAGTGGTACCAACCTGCATCATCCCTCCTAGCCACTTGAGGCTGAGGCAGAGATAACAGGTTCATGAACAGCTAGGCTACACACAGCCAGACTGTCTAAAATCAGGAGTTTGGTTCCCAGCACCCACATGGTGGCTAACAACCATCTGTAACTCCAGTTCCAGGGGACCTGACACCCTCTTCTGACCTCCAAGGGCACTGCACAACATGGGTGCATCTACCTACAAGCAAGCAATACACCCTACACATTAAATAAATAAAACCCCCACAAGCTCAATATCATTGGTCATTAGAGACATGCAATTAAAACCAAAATAAGAAATTAGATTATAGCTACAACAATTAAAAACAAAGTAAGAGATTATAGCTACAACAACAACAATAAAAAGATGGAAAGTAACAAGTGTTTGTAAGGGTGTAGAAAATTGGGTTCCAATTTCATTGCGAGAACATGCAGTAAACAGTTTGGCATTTCCTGGAGAAGTTACACATTGGCCAAGTATAGAACCTCAGTGGTGGAGTGCTTGCCTGCGGTCACACACAGGGCCTTGGTTTCTTTTTTTTCTTTTTCTTTTTAATTTCTATTTTTTGCACAAGGTCTAGTCTTACTATATAGCACAGACTTGCCTGAAACTTACAAGATCAGGTTGGCCTGGTACTTGTGGAGATTCTCCTGCCTCTGCCTCCTAAGTGCTGGATTACGGGTGTGAGCTACCATACACAGCCCAAAGCCTGGGTTTGATTTTAGCATTCATTGATAATTACATAACCTTGTGACTACAAAAACATAGTTATTTTGTGACACAGCAATTTCCTTCATTGTATATACCCAAGACAATTGAAAACATTTATCTACATAAAAACTTGTACATGAATGGTCATAATATGCTATGAATTATAATAACCAAAACAAAAACAATTATCAACCGATGGAATGAACAAAATATGGTATGTCCATGTAATAGAGTATTTGACCATAAAAAGAAACAGGCGGGCTGGAGAGATGGCTCAGTGTTAAGAACACTGGTTGTTCTTGCAGAAGACCCGGGTTTGAATCCCAGCACCCACATGGCTGTTAACAACTGTCCGTAACTCCAGTTTCAGGGGATCCAACAACTTCTGTCCTCCGTGGGCATTGCATGACACGGGTGCACTTACCTACATGCAGGCAGTACACGCATACACATAAAATAAAAATGATTAAAAAAAAAACCCCAAAACAAAGAAACAGGGAGGAGGGGGGAAGTGGAGAGATGGCTCAGCAGCTAAGAGCGAGCCCTGGCTGTTCTTGCAGAAGATCCAGGTTCAAAACCCAGCACCCACATGGTGGCTAACAACTGTCTGTAACTTCAGTTCCAGGGAATCTGATGTCTTCTAACCTCTTCGGGCACTGCACAACACAGGTGCACTTACATACATACATGCAGGCAATACACTCATACACATAAAATTAAAATAAATTTAAAAAAAATTAAAAAACAGGGTACTAGTACATGTTACATCAGCCATTATTCTTGAGAACACTGTGTTAGGCAGAAGAAATTAGACACAGTCACATATTCTATATTCATTTATATGAAATGTCTCAAATATGAAACTCATAGATATAGGATATACACTAGTTACTGCAAGGGACTAGAATGGGAGAATAGGAAATGACTGCTAATGGTTAGGGAATCTTTGTTTTTTGAGGGGAGTAATGAAAATGATCTAGAATTAGTGATTCTAGAACCATGTGACTATGTTAAAAATTCAAAATGTATAAGCCACAGAGATGGCTCAGCAGGTAAGAACGTTTACTACTTTGTTAGAAGACCAGAGTTCCAATCCTGGCACTTGTATTGGGCAGCTCACAAATGCCGTAACTCCAGCTCTAAGAGATCTGACATCCCCTCCTGACCTCCATGGGCACAGGCACACACATATAAATAAATCTTTTTACAAATGTGAACTGTACACTCTATTTTGGGGGGCTGTGAGAATTGTTGGCAGGACCTTTGTACGTCTAAACACACTCCATCCCTTAGACACATCCGCAGACTACATTTTAAGATGGGAATTACTTAAAAAATCATTTAAAACTTTTATTAGCTGCTGTAGTGGCACATGACTTTAATTCTAGCTCTTGGGAAGCAGAGGCAGGCAGATCTGTATGAGATACAGGCCAGCCTGGTCTACATAGTGAGTTCTAGGCAACCTGGAGCTACAAGGAGACCTTGTCTCAAAAACAATAAATTTTTAAAAATCTATTTTATGTGTATGAGTGCTTTGACTACATGTAAGTGCACCCGTGTCATGCAGTGCCCACAGAGGCCAGAGGAGGGTATCAGATCTTGAGTAAGGGATGATTGTTAGCCATCATGTAGGTGTTGGGAACCAAACTCAGGTCCTCTGCAGGATCATCCAGTGCTCTTAGCTACCGAGTCATCTCTCTAGCCCCTAAGACAGCAAATTTTAAATCTGAACTTGTTTCTCTTGCTGTGACAAAACACCCTGACCAATACCAACTTGGGGAGGAAAGGGTTTATTCAGCTTACATCTCCTGGGTCACAATTCATCAGGGAGCCCAGGGTAGGAACTCTGGGCAGGAACTTGGAGGCAGGAGCTGAAGCACAGGCCATGGAGGAACACTGCTTACTGGTTTGCTCCCCTGGCCTATGCTGAGCCTGCTTTCTTATACAATACAGAACAACCTGCTGGGGGTGGCACCGCTCACAGTGGGCTGGGTCCTCCCACACCACTAAACAATCAAGAAAACACCCCACAGACACAGACACAGGGCAGTCCAATGGAGGCAATTCTCCAATTATGGCTCCCTCTACCCAGGTGTGTTAAGTTGACAACTAAAGCTAACTAGCACAGATGGTGACTTTTTTTTTTTTTTTTTTTTTTTTTTAGCCAGGTCTCCCTATAGTCCCAGTTGGCCTGGAACTCACTATGTAGCCCAGGCTGGCTTCTCTTTCAGAGATCCACCTGCCTCTGCCTCCCAAGTGCTGAGATTAAAGGTGTATGCCACTGAACCTGGCAAAATGGTGACATTTATCTTAAAAAATTTGGGTGGTTTGAGATATAATTTCCACATATATTAAAAAGTATAGAACCAATGGGCATTGTATGTACATCTTTAAATCCCAGCACTTGGGAGGCAGAGGTAGGCAGATCTCTGTGAGACTGAGGCCAACCTGGGCTACATAGCAAGTTCAAGGCCAGCAGGGGCAGCAAAGAAACCCTATCTTAAAAACGGTCCTTTTTTTAAAAAAAAAAAAAATTGATTTTAGCCAGGCATGGTGGCACATGCCTTTAATCCCAGCACTAGGGAGGCAGAGGCAGGAGGATCTCTGTGAGTTCAAGGCCAGCCTGGTCTACATAGTGAGTTCTAGGACAGCTAGGGCTACAGAGAGGCCCTGTCTTAAAAAGACAAAAAAAAAAAAATAGATTTTAGAAGAATTTTATGCCTGCATGTATGTAAGTGCACCCATGTCATGCAGTGTCCATGGAGGTCAGAAGAGGGCATTGGATCCCCTGGAACTGGAGTTACAGATGGCTCTTAGGTTCCATGTGGGTGCTGGGATTTGGACCTGGACCTTCTGCAAGAGCAGCCAGTGCTCTTGACCACCAAGCCATCTCTCTAGTTACCCTCCCCTTAAAAAAAATTGTGTCATGTACGTGGCTTGTGCATGTGGCATGTATGTCAGTGCAAGTGCCTGAGGCCAGAGGCATTAGATCCTCTGAAGCTGGAGTTACATTCAGGTAGTTGTGAGCAATGTGAGGGCTGGGAATTAGACTCAGGTCATCTCAAAGGGCAGTATATCCTCTTAACTGCTGAGCCATCTCTCCAGCCCCATCGTCTTATTTTTGAGACAGGGTCTATCATTAGCTTGGAACTCACCAAGTAGGTTTGGCTGGCCAGTGAGAGCCCCAGAGAGCCTGTTTCTGCCTTTTCAGTACTGGGGTTATATGAGCATGCTACCACACCCAGGTTTTTATGTAAGTTCTGGGAATCAAACTCAGGTCCTTATAAGCACTTTACTGCCATCTTCTCAGCTCTACTTCTAAATAATTTTCCTAAAAATGTATACAAACATGTTTTATGGAAATAAAATCTCTGAAGACATATAGGAAACCAGTGACAGTACTTCCTAAAGGGAGGGGACATAGGGCTAGGCTAAAAGGCCAGTATACCATTTAGTACCAAGGGGATTTTGTATACAGAACAAGTATTGCTACTTCTGCCATTTTTACATGACTGTAGTGTGTGCATATATGCAGGTGGAAGGCCAAAGCTGATGTCAGCTGATTTGCTCACTCTCTATTTCGTTGAAACAGTCTCTTGCTGAACCCAGAGCTTACCGATTTCTGCTCGTCTAGCTGGCTGGCTTGCCCCTGAGAGCCTATCTGGGACTACAGGCAGCTGCCACATGCTTAACCTTGAATGCTGAGAATCCCAACTCCTGTCCTTATGCTTGTGCAGCAAGTACTTTATCTGTTGAGCCCTTTCCCAAGATCTCCGTTTTTTTATTTATACTGTATGTGTGCACACATACCACAGTGCATGTGGAGGTCAAAGGACAACTTGGCAGGAGTCAGTTCTCTTTCCACCGTGTAGGTTCTACAGATTGAACTCAGGTCCTCAGGCTTGGTGGCAATTGTTTTTATTGGATGAGCCACCCTCGAATTTTTTTTAAAGAAAAAAGTGACACCCTGATAATGTATATTTAGCTCTTCATTTTTAGTCATAAACTTAAAAGATATGTACCAATTTGGTTAGATTTATTGCTTTGCAATTAAATTTGATGACAGTTTTCACTCACAACCTTTACAATTTATATCCATATTTGAGATTGTTTAGCTTTCTCATGGAGAAAAAGAAACCCAGGTAGATCCTCCTGGTAGACCTGCAACATACTTTTTGTTGTTGTTACTGATGCTTGGGCAATTTCTATTAAGTTGAAAGAGTGTATTAGTAAGAGTGACTGTAATGTGGCTGGTCAAGAGTTATGATCTTTGACCCACTGCTCAATCCATCTTGAGATTTGATTTATATTTTCCTCTAGCTCTTCTGGTTTATTGCTGGGCAGCTGATGCACAATTTCTTCTTTGTAAGATGCTCTGGCTTCTTCATAAAGAACTTGAAAAATCTCACACTGAATATTGTCTTTTAGTTTCTTCTCATTATAACCCCTGGAAAGCAAAAGAAAGGTTAAGGATACAAAAAGCAAACATTTTATCTTTTAAATATTTTATTATTTTTCAAAATTTTATATACATATAAATGTATTGCTTGTATGTATGTAAGTGCACTCATGTCGTGCAATGCTTGCAGAGGTCAGAAGAGGGAATCAGATTCCCCAAAACTAGAGTTATGGACAGCTATTAGCCACATGAGGGTGCTTGGAATTGAAACCAGGTCCTCTGCAAGAAGAGTAGTCAGTGCTCTTAACCCATGAGCTATCTCTTCAGCTCCCTGCTTTGCCTTTTGTGTGTGTGACGGGGGGGGGGGGGGGGGGGGGGAAGAAGAGAAGAGATATGGGACATTGAGACAGGGTCTCACTATGTAGGTCTGGCTGGCCTGGTATGAATGTCCATCCAGCTTAGGCCCAGTCTGAAGAGAGTGCAACAGCACCACATCAATGCTTTCCCATTCTTGATGGGATAATCTGAATGTATAATGTTCAAATCAAGAATATTACTGCTTGGTTCTTTCTCTAGGAAAGGCTTCTCTCAAGGGAAAAACATGGTTATGTGGATTTTCTATAAATTTTACTAAATCAAATTTTCAATTGAGATAGTCAAGTATTCTGAAAGTATCACTTATGTACTAATTTACCCGGGTGTGGTGGTACATGCCTTTTTAATTCCAGCACTCTGGAAGCAGAGGCAGGCAGATTTTTGTGAGATGGAGGCCAGCCTGGCCTACAAAGAAAGTTCTAGGCCAGGTAGGGCTATAGAAAAACCGTTTTTAAAAAAATACCCAAAAAGGCTGGGTGTGGTGGCACACACCTTTAGTCCCAGCACTTGGGAGGCAGAGGCAGGTTGATCTCTGTGAGTTTGAGGCCAGCCTGGTCTCCATAGTGAGTTCCAGGCCAGCTGGGGCTGTAGGGAGACCCTGTTTCAAAAAACAAAACAAACAAAACAAAACACCAACAAAAAAACCAAAACCACATGCATTTGTCTTAGGTTGAGAGTAATGGTACCACACAGATTTACTTTTTTTCTTTTGGTCTTTTTCAGACAGGGTCTCCCTGTAGCCCCAGCTGTCCTGGAACTCACTATATAGACTAGGCTGGCCTTGAACTCACAGAGATCTGCCTGTCCTCACAGAGACAGATTTACTTTATAACAAACCAAATTAGAGTGGCTGCCTTTTCAAATGGAAATTCTTCTCATAATATTAGCCAATTTCAGGAATCCAAATAAGCAAAAGTTTATTTGCTTTAAGTACAAATTTTATGTTTTTCTTTTTCTTACCTTGTTTCCAGTCTTTTGTACAATATACTATTATCTGTTCTCAGCACAAAGACTATATGAAACCAGCGTTCAGGAAAGAAATCACAACCGTGGTAATCCACAACAACGCCACCTTCTCTCATCTGGTTCTCTAACTCATCAACAACCTGTAAGAAACATGCAAAGAAAGAAAGATGAACATTCCCTAAGAAAACTGAAATTACCTTTCCCATGTTCAACAAATGTTCATTCTAAGCAGTCACTTACTCTATCTTCATCCAAAATGGGACAGTCATATTCTTCATCATAGCCATCATATAACTCCCCTAGAAGAAAGTTACATCAGCTTATTAATAGTATTTTCTAAGCAACTTTTATTGACTTCCAATTGACTAGATTTTTTTTTTTTTCAGATTTACTCTTGATTTTAGGAAATTTATCACTAATGATTTTTTTTAGATGCAAGGAAGGGCACTAACACAACAGAAGCTACACGGACAGCAAATAGAGCAATCTTGAAAAATTAAAACTTGAGGTTATCTATCAGGAACCCTGGATGGCATTGAAGCTTTTTTTTTTTTTTTAGCTTTTTGAGATAGGCTCTCCCTGTAGCCACAGCTGCCTGAATTCACTATGGAGACCAGGCTGGCCTTGAACTCACAGAGACCTACCTGCCTCTCTCTGCTTCCTGAGTGCTGGGATTAGAGTACACCACCTTGCCCAGCACATTTTGTATTTTTTTAAAAACATGAATTTTGTTTTTGTTTGCTTTTTGAGACAGCTGTAGTCTCAACTGGCTTCAAACTCCCTATGTAGACCAGGCTAACCTTGGGTCTCACAGAGATCTGCCTGCCTCTCTGGCCTCAAACTTACAGAGTCATCTGTCTCTGCCTCCAGAGTATTGGGATTAAAGGCATGCCACCAGGCCTAACTACTCTGTACTCCTTGAGTCAGTCTTGCTATGCAAACCCAGGCTGGCCTTGAACTCTGAAATCAGCTTACCTCCATTTCCAGAGTGTTGGAATTATAGGTGTGTGCCACTATGTCCAGCTTATCTGAAACTTTAAAGTGTTTTTTAAATTTTATTTTATTTTGGTCTTTTTGAGACAGGGTCTCCTTGTAGCCCCAGCTGTCCTGGAACTCACTATGCAAACCAGGCTGGCCTTGAACTCACAGAGATCTGCCTGCCTCTGCCTCCGAGTGCTGGGATTAAAGGTGTGCGCCACCACGCCCGGCTCTTAATTTTTATATGTGTATGAGTATTTTGTCTGCATGTAAGTGCATCTGTGTTGTACAATGCATGCAGAGGCCAGAAGAGGGTGCTGGATCCCCTGGAACTGGAGTTATGGACAGCTGCTAGTGGCCACGTGAGTACTGGAACTGAACTCAGTCCTCCACAAAAGTAATGCGCTTAACCACTGAGCCACCTTTCCAGCCTCTGAAACTGTTACATGTTTTTGATGAACTTTTTTTTTTAATGTGTTTCTTTTGTTTGCATTTATGTAGGTGCACCAATTAGGCAATGCTTGCAGAGGCCAGAAGAGGCTGTGAGGTCCCTTGGATCTGGACTGGAGTTATGTACAATAGTTAGCTGCCATCTGCATGCTGGGAACTGAATCTGGGTCCTCTGCAAGCACAGCGCATGCTCTAACCACAGGACCATCTCTCCAGTGCTGGGATTAAAGGCATGCACCACCATGCTTGTCAGATTTACTTTATGTGTATATGTTCATGTAAATGTGGGTGCCCAGGATCCCTCTAGACCTGGAGTTACAGGCAGTTGTGAGTTGCCCAACATGGATGCTGGGAAATGCATGTGGGTCCTCTGCAGCCACAGTATGTGCTCTTAATCACTGAGTCATCTCTTGCTCTTATCTAAAAATTTCAATTATCAAAGATGAAATAACAAAACAACAACAAAACAGGATAGCCAACATCAGAGTTCATGAGGCTATTAGTGGAAGAGAGCAATATTTTGTTGTTAAGCCACAGATTTGTAGGGAAAAAGAACCCATAGACAGACAAATATAAACACTCTCACACACATTAAAAGACTGGGCTCCAGCTGGACATGGTGGTGCACACCTTTAATCCCAGCACTCGGGAGGCAGAGGCAGGTGGATCTATGTCAGTTCAAGGCCAGTCTGGGCTACCTAGGGGGTTCACAGCCAGCTGGGGCTACAGGGAGACCCTGTCTCAAAAAGACCAAAAAAAAAAAAAAAAGACTGGGCTCCAGACTAAGGTCAAGGATAGGATTTAACACTTACCAAAAGCAACCTCAGGTTCTTATTTCTAGAAGCAAATCTTCCTTCCTTGAGCTCACATTTTCATAGTGACTGGGGAAGGAGTCAGGGCTCAGATGCCCCTAACAGTAGGTATCCTTGCGTCTCAGAATCCCCCAAAGTCTTGGAGCTGGGACTGTAGCTTGGTTGGTAAACACTTGTCTAGCATTCATGAGGCCCTGGGTTCAATCTCACATATAGCCAAAGAAAAAAGTCATGCCAGGTGTGACGGCACACAGCTTTGATCCCAGCACTCAGGAGGCAGAGGCTGGTGGATCCCTGAGATTGAAGCCAAGCCTGGTCTCTACAACAAGTTCCTGGACAGCTGGGGCTATAGGGAAACCATGTCTCAAAAAAAAAAAAAAGAAAAGATTAAATAGTTGTATTTTAAAAGGCAAAACAAGGGGCTGGAGCAATCATTCAGTGGTTAAAAGCACTGATTGCTCTTGCTCTTGTAGAGACCCTGGGTTCAATTTCCAGCATCCACATGGTGGCTGACAAACATTCCAAACTCTAGTTCCAAGGGATCCAACATTCTTTTCTGACCTCAGAGGGCACTGAATGACACAGGTACTTACACACATGCAGGAAATACACTCATACAAATAATATAAAAATTAAAAAATACTTAAAAAGGCAAACAAGGGCTGGGAATATAGCTCAGTCATTGAATTCTTGCCTAGAATACATGAAGCCCTGGGTTTGATTTTCCAGCATTGAATAAACCAGGCATGTAGCACAAGCCCATAATTAAAACATTCGGGAGGTGGAGTTCAAGGTCATCCATGGTTACATAGCATAGTAAGGCCAGCCCCTGGGACACAAGAGGCTTTTTTTTCAAAAAATAAAATAGCTGTGTGTGGTGGTGCATGCCTTTAAATCCTAACACTGGGGAGGTAGAAGCTGGTGGATCTCTCGAGTGTGAGGCCAGCTTTGTCAACTCAGTGGATAACCAGCGCTACATAATGAGTCCATCTCAAAAAAAAGGCCTGAGGCCAGTCCAGTCTACACAGAGTTCCAGGCCTACAGGGAGACCATCTTTAAAGAGAAAAGAGAGAGAAACAAAACCTGAAAAATCGTTAACAAAATAAAGAAGACAAATTCAGGGTTATAGGAATATAGCTCAATGATAGAATGTTTGCTTAGAATGTACAAGGTGGGGGGGGGGAGTCAGAGACAGAGAAGCAGGAGGGGGGTATTTAAATTTAACATAAGAACTTTCTGTTTAGAGATATATGGATCTAGCCCTCGCTGCTAGGAGGTAGAGGGATCTAAGGTAGACTTAGATCATACTTTAACTAGGGTTAAGATTATGTTACTTAGTGGTTTTCTCACCTCTTTTAATTTTTTTTGGTCTTTTTGAAGCAGGGTCTCCCTGTAGCCCTAGCTGTCCTGGAACTCACTATGTAGACCAGGTTGGCCTTGAACTCGGCGATCCGCCTGCCTCTGCCTCCCAAGTGCTGGGACAACAGGTGTGTGCCACCATGCCCGGCTTCTCTTAATATTTTATAACAGGTTGAAATTAAGTTAGACTGAGCATGAGTTCTGGAGTGACAAAAGGAAGCCCAAGGGGAGTGGAAAGCACAGAAGCAATAGTAACTGACATATCTGGAGGGTCTGCAGACCAATTCTGGGCAGGTGTTCATCTCACTAGCACCTGGCGGTGGCCTCTGCCTCCTTGGGCTATTGCTTGGTTATCAAAAATACTATCAGCCTAAAAGCTAAACTGCCTTCATGTGGGAAAAAACCTTGGAAGACAGTTTTGCTGTTTTTTTCTTTACCAAACATGATCTGGTAAAAGCAACACCAACTGATGTCAGTAAATTCAAAAAATGGAAAGCAGTAGTGAAAAGCAGGGCATCTTTTGACCATGTAAACAAGGCATCCAAGGTTATCAAACTGCAGCAGCAACAAGGGTACTGTGCTAGGAACTATGTAATCCATGTTCCATTATTATAGTGGCTACTTTTCTCACTGTTGTGACAAAAATGCCTAAAATCAACTTAAGGGAGGAAAGGTTTATTTTGACTGGTGGTTTCAGGGAATTTTAGTCCATTGTGGCAGAGAAGACTGACAGCTGGTTCAGTCTGTGGAGGCAGGAGCTTGCAGCTGCTGGCTCTTTACACCAGGTAGTAGAGGGCAGGGCAGCAAGAAGGACTGCAGCCCCCATGGATCCACCTCTGCCAGGCAGGCTTTGCCTCCCAAAGGTTTCATAAACTCCCTGATGTGTCACCATCTGGAGACCAAGTTCAAATTCATATATATCAGCCGGGGAGCTAGAGATAAATAGCTTACTGATTAAGTATTGCTCTGGACCCAGTTTGGTTCCTAGCACCCATGTCAGGCGGCTCACAACTGCCTGCAACTCCAAAGGGATCTGACACCTCTGGCTTCCTTGGGCACCTGGATACACACATCTACCCCCAACATATACACATAATCAAAAATAAAAACAAACCAACGTAGGGGGCATTTCAGATTCAAACCAGAACAAAAGGAAGTGAAAAGGAACTGTGCTGAAGCTGTACAGGGGAGAAGTAACTGTTTGTGGAGTATCACCTGTAAGCACACAAAGACGATAGATGGAGTACTCTATCTTATTTCTTCTCATCTGTATTTTCCTTATTTGAAATTACACTCTTCGCTAGGAACAATAACATACCTTCTCTACTTCTTCTGCTTATACCCTGACATACCTCATGGTCTAATTAATGTTTGCACTGCATGGAGAGATTTGACTTTTCATTCTCATGTGTGGATAGTCAACCCAAGATAATTCAGGATAATGTTCTACTGGGTCTCTGAAGCATCTTGACTATTTACATTAATCACATTACTAACCACCCAACTCTATTCTGTCCTGTGTGGAGTGGAAGAAATGCTAAAGTTTTATATTTGTTTTTAATTTATTCACTATAGTACATGATAAGCACCATTCAAAGAACTGGTAGGGTCAGACACAGCATATTTTTCTAGGCTATGGGTTCTATATCTTAGAGAATAGTAAACAAGTAAAACAAATTTGATAAGCAGATATTGTATTT